TGGAAGGAGACGGAGATATGGTTATGCTCGGTCCCCTTCCAACCTCCGTCCCATCCCGAGAGACGTGAAAGGGCTAGGAAGGAATACCCCTCTTCGTCACCAAACAGAGCCAGTTTGGTGTCGTGGTTGAGTGTGCGGACTCTAATCTGGGAGAACCGGGTTTGATTCCCCACTCCTCCACTTGCACTTGGCTGGGTGACCTTGGGCAAGCCGTAGTTCTGACAAGAGCTGTCCTTGAAAAAGAGCTGTTTCTGTCAAGAGCTCTCTGAGCCCCGCCTACCTCACAGGGTGTCTGTTGTGGGGAGGGGAAGGGAAAGGAGTTTGTAAGCTGCTATGAGATACCTTTGGGTAGTGAAGGGCGGGGTATAAATCCAATCTCTTCTTCTCTTCTTCTTCTTCTTCTTCTTCTGCTGTTGTTTATTGCCAGGTCTATCAATAATAAGACCGCGACACTGTGCGGTTATATAACTGCACAAGTTGTTGACCTGGCGTGTGTGACCAAAACCTGGACTCAGGAGGGTGAGACAGTTGCCCTAAAAGAGCTTACCCCTCCAGGTTTTTCAGTCCTTCCTCAGTCACGAACTGTGGGCACGGGGGAGGGGTGGCAATGTTCATTCGAGAGGATTTCATCTTTAGGGCACTCCCTGTTCCAACAATCACTGGCATTGACTGTGTTGGCCTGGTTTGGGACACAGAGGGAAATTTGGCTGTCTGTCTGGTGTAACATTCGCCCAGCACACCTGCAGACAGCCTACCGGGTCTGCTGGAGTGGGTAGCAGGCTGGGCTCTGGAGTTTCCTAGACTGATAGTTCTCGGGGACGTCGCTGTCCATGCTGATGCTGCGGACGTGGTGTCATCCATGGCGGCACTAGGACTCTCCCAGATTGTATCAGGTCCCACACATCAGACAGGCCACACACTAGATTTGATTTTTTGCATGTGCATAAATATGGATCTGGTCAGGGGTCATTTCGTAGAAAAAGAGGGGCAGGAGCTCATTAGCATAACTCATTAGCATAACTTATTTGCATAGGCCACACCCCCTGACATCACCGGGAGTGTGTCAGAAGGCAACACCCACCACTCAGGCTCCACGGGACTGTTTTGGATTGCTAGCTATTGGGGGTGGGGGAAACGTGCAGATCTGTCCTCGCAGAGGAGGGAGAGCTTGTACCTGAATGAAACTTGGTCTTAAAGGTGCCACTGGACTGTTTTGGACCGGGGGGCCGGGGGAGGCTCTGCAACTTACCTGGCTGCTTCTTGCTCTGACTGAGGGCTGCTGGGAGCAGGGGGTGGGGCTTGTTGCATGTGTCCGCCCCCTGGTCTCCTTACTGACGGGGCTCTGCTCCTGTGCGCTCCTGCAGGACATGACCCCTGGATCTGGTAGATAAGGATAGAGTGCTGTCGTCAGATTACTTTGCTCTAAAGGCCCGGATAGACATCCCACCCATCTCCTGTCTAGGCGGTGAGCAGATTTATGTTTGCCCGTGGAGACTCATGGATCCAGTAGGATTCCGGAATGCTCTGTGGGATCTGCTGCCCTCTGGTGACTCATTAGATGCACTGATAGAGATCTGGAATTCCCGTCTCTGAAGCCATCACTGAGATTGCCCCCCGATTCCCTCTCCGCTCCCATGCTACGTTGTCCCCCAGTATACAATGGAAATCAGGGGGATGAAATGGGAACTGAGATGGCTAGAGCGAGTGTGGCAGCGAACTCGCAACAAAGAGGCAAGAACATCTTATAGGACATTTATGAAAGCCTATGAGAAGGCGGTGATAGGTCTCTGGATTCAGGGGTCTATCCAGAGGGTCTGAAGGAGGCTGTTTAAACTATTGTATTAAACTATTCTGTTGCAGACCGCCCTGAGACCCGTGTAAGTAGGAAAGGGCGGTCAAGAAATCTAATGAAACATAAATAAATAAATTATGAAGGGGGAAATAAGATCCATGGTAGGAATGTAGAGTAACCAACATAGTGGTCATCTACCACACAGAGAGGAAGGTTTGGTATGTGTCTGTGTGCATGAAATGTTGTGCTATGTGTGGTACGCTGGATCCCGAATTTCTGTAAGAGGTTGCTGTAACTGAACTAACAAAACCTGGGTTTGAATCTCTACTCAGCCCTGTCACCCTCGATCAAGCATTGTGGGTAGCATGAATCAGCATCGGCACCTCACATTTCCTAGTTGGGGAGTCAGTCCTATGTCACACCGTCTAGGAGTGAGCTTCCATTCTCCATCTGCTCAAGCTTGTAGCCATTCAGACTTCAATAGCAAAATCTGCACCAAAACCAAAGCGCAAAAAATAAGGACACACTAATATTGGCCAGGCTTTGAATGTTAAGGTGACTTCACATTCTGCGTAGGCTGGGAAGAGATCACGCAGCTTGTTTTGTTGATTTATTTCATTTTCATTTCTTCTCCTTCCTCCGAGGAGCCCTGGTAAGCCAACCTGGTTCCCCTTGCTCCTATTTTATCCTCACAACAGCCCTTTGTGGCAGGTTTGACTGCAATGGGTTTGACAGGCCCAAGGACATCCAGTGAGTCCCCCCCAATTGTTTTTATTGATTTTGTTAAAGACTTTGCAGAATGCAACATGGTGACTATTTGAACCGAGTCTTCCCCAGGTTGTAGTCTGATGTGGTAACATTACACCATTCTGGTTCTGCATTCCCATGGCCAGTGCAGCCAGTTTGGTGTAGTGGTTAAGTGCGTGGACTCTAATCTCGGAGAACCGGGTTTGATTCCCCACTCCTCCACTTGCACCTGCTGATGTGACCTTGGGTCAGTCACAAGCTCTGGCACAGCTGTCCTTGAAAAAGAGCAGTTTGTGCCAGAGTTCTCTCAGCCCCACCCACCTCACAGGGTGTCTGTTCTGGGGAGGGGAAGGGAAAGGAGTTTGTAAGCCACTCTGAGACTCCAAGTGAAGGGCCATGGGGTATAAATCCAATCTCTTCTTCTTCTTCTTCTTCTCTAAGAGCTTTCAGTGGCTTTGGCGGGGCAGCCTGAACACCCCACTGCCCCCACAGGATGGCCCAGCTACACCCTGTGCCAGTGACCAGTTGGGCAGCTCATGGCTCACTTACCCACTGATACAGTGAGGGAAGGTAGGGGGCAGCCGTGTCAGATCCTGGAAGTGATGCTACTTCCAGGTGACACTCTGAGAATCTCTGAGGTGTCTGTTGTTAAGACCATAGAGATTTGGAGGAGGGACCGTGGCATCACTTCTGGGCTCTGATGACCCCCCCCACACACACACTTTCTTCCACCATATCAGCGGGTAAGTGATGCTAGAACTGGGCAGTCAATAGAGTATGCCCTGGGCTGCTGGCTGGATGGCCAGCTGGCCTGGGCAGTGGAGCTGGGGCCAAGGGGGGCTTTCCCCACCCCCCGGTGTCCTAGGGCTGCCTAGGAAGTGGGCTGCCCCTCACCACAGCAAGTTTGAGCCTGTGCTTTCTGAACCTCAACCCTGCCTCCCTTCCTAGTGCTGTCAGTCAAACCTCTTCTATAACTGAGAGCGATTTCAAAAAACTGTTTGTAATATGGAATAGGTAGCAGTGGGGGAGTCTATCATTCAAAGGCAAAAAGTACCAAAAGAGATACACTGAGCTACCTTTTGTAGCTTTTTCAGATCCTGGTCCTTATTTCCTAGGTGGAAATGATACATAACAAAGCAATGCGGGATCAGGAGTTAAACAAACACTGGAGTCAACGTATTGCTACAGCACTGCTCCAAGCCAGATTTTGGTGCCCTCCTATGCAATGTGATCCCAGCCCTCCAAACCTCCCTTCTTGGTTTTATAAGCCATATGTTTATAATACCCAATGTACCTTTACTCCTTTGGGAGAGATTTGCAGCCAAATTGTTTTGTATCACTTGTAAGTCGTATAATAATTTAAGCCCCTTTATCTTGTACAGTGCTTCTCAGGCCCTACACAGATATCTGTGGACCAGCTAGCCGTGTGACCTGAATTTACCAATAAAAATGTAATTTTTTTTTGGGGGGGGATGAATGTGTTTAAAAGAAATGGAAGACTAATGGTTGCCAGATTAAGCCACAGCTGGGGAGCACATCAGGACTTTGTGAAAGAGTGGAGCATTTTAACAAGTTATTTGCATCCCATAGAATTATCGTCTGAAATTACATGTAACTTCTGCTGGATCCTCTTTAAAATCAGATTTTCACACCAACTCTCTTTTTAGGGAGATTTCTGTGATGGGTTGGAAGTTTCAAGCTTTTATGATTGTATCTCAGAAACAAGGCATTCCTATTTGTGGATTTTGTCATTCAAAGGTGTTAAGTTCCTGAATGGTACATAGTTACTTCTTTGTAAATTAGTCTTAGGAGGTGACTGACACTTTGGGGGTTATCACTGTCGAGGGACCTTTCAAAGTACCAGATATTTAGAACATCAGCCAATCGGGGTCCCCAACATGGTGCCTGTGGGAGCTGAGGCACCCATCAACACTATTCCTGGTGCTCAAGTGTTTTAAGGAAGTGGGTGTGCTTTAAGTGTTTTGAGAAAGGGGGGGCATAGCTCAGTGGTAGGGCATCAACTTGGCATGCAGAAGGTCCCAGGTTCAATCCCCAACATCTCCAGTTAAAGGACAGGGCAGTTGGTGATGGGAAAGACCTCTGCCTGAGACCCTGGAGAGCTGCTGCCCGTCTGAGTAGACAATACTTTGATTGGACCAGTGGTTTGATTCAGTATAAGGCAGCTTCAAATGTTCATGTATTCTCCGGGAGGGGGCATGGCCCAGTGTTGAGCATCTGCTTGGGATGCAGAAAGTCCCAAATTCAATCCCCAGCATCTCCTGTTAAAAAGGACCAGGCAGTCGGTGATGCGAAAGACCTCCAACCTGAGACCCTGAAGAGCTGCTACCAGTCTGAGCAGACAAGACTGACTTTGACGGACCAGTGTTGCAGCTGCCACTGAAAGTCTTAAAGGGATAAACATAAAGTAATTATCTCTTTTTTTGTTCTTTTGTAATTACAGGTTTAAGATTTTTACGAGCGCTTAGGCTGATACAGTTCTCAGAAATTTTGCAGTTTCTGAATATCCTTAAAACAAGGTAAGGCATCAGCATCTATTGTTTACTTTTTGCTTCTTGGAGATAGGAAAGGGCCAATTTAGTCAGTGCTTTCCCCCCCTTTGATGTACTTGGTCTGCGAGTCCTCTAGCTAGATAGCATTAATTGATTAGTGAATTGAGGGAGCTACTTTGACATTTTGGAACAAGTCTAGGCTAAAAGCAGTCTTGCATCAGTCCACTCACCCTATCCATGTTTTCAAGGGGCATTTTATCGGGCTTCGTAAACTTGTAGTTCCATGGAACCAGCCTCATGGTCTCAAAGAGAATGTATGTTCATTGGTACAATTATTTAAAAAATCTTTGTCATTCAATTCTCCGGAATATGTTTTGACAAACAGATCTGTCCTTTTGGATTCTTGAGTTAGAAATTTATTGCTGTTTTAAATGCAGTGTCCTATTTGCTCCTAAGACCTTGGTTGTCACCACCCATACTGCTGTGAGGCTGTGTCCTGAAAATTGTTATGATGCCCTGCTGACAAGTTACAATGAATGCATGCACAAACCGTGTACAGTGTACCCCTGTTTTTTTCTTTGTACATGCATTGAGTAGTTTCCATGTTACATTGATGAGAAGACAAGAGTCACTGGAAAAGACAATAAAGGCCCCGGGCACACGTGCCGGATATCGCAGGGGGGAGGCGTGGCTAATTGCCCCGGTGCAGTTTGATCCGCGATTACACGATCAGACGTGCCGGTGGCACAGCACGGGTCCTTCCCTCGGTGCCAGTGGGTAAACGAGGGACCGGAGGGGAATGCTGCGCGCCGGCGCAGTCACACCACAGGTGTCTGGAGGCAGCCCATGGCAAACGTTTACTAGTACCTTGGAGGTACTAGTTTTTAAATGCGCATTGTCGGCGGTAAGCCACGGGTGCACTCCACTTCCCAGATGTTGGGGTGTGATCGCGCCCAGATAATCCGCCCACCTTCCGTGCCTCTCCCGCGGCAACTTTGCCGTGTGACCGGGGCCGAAGCTAGGAAAAGTTGAAGGTAACAGAAAAAGAGGAAGACCCAACAGGAGATGGATGGACTCAAATCAAGGAAGCCACAAAGGCCCTCAGTTTGCCAGACTTGAGCAAGGCTGTTAATGATAGGACATTTTGGAGGTCATTAATTCATAGGATCACCATAAGTCAGAAGTGACTTGATGGTTAAATTGAACACAAGTTCTGCTGAATGGGTGATTTAAACCCCACATATATCCCGGTACTGGTCCTCAGTTTTGTAAGGTGAAAGTTCGTTGGCCCTTTCCTGCAAACAGATGTATGTGTGTACATTGTGATATGGGAACAGGATTAGAGTTCGTTCTGTCCAGGCCACTGAAATGAATCAGCTTAGGCTGATAACAGCATAGGATCGTACTGTCCAGAACCTCACCTTCTCCCCTCCATTTCTTCCTGCCCTTTTGTCTGCCCCCGACCCACAGTTATGCTGTGCAACATATCTAGAGCCCTGCTTGGGAGAGGGAAGGGGGGAAGGGTCTGAGGAGTGGGAGACTGGTGAGAAGCATAGGGTTGCCAGACTCCAGCTGGAGCCTGGAGATCTCCTGGATTTATGACTGATGTCCGGACTAAGGGTGTGTGTGTTCGGAATAAACCGAACCAAATAAATACCCGAAAATTCCTTATGGGTATTTGGGGGTATTTATTAGGCTGAATATTCGGCTACTGATATGGCTCAGTCTGAAAAAAAGCCATTTTTGTCCAGCTTTTATTAGACTCCCAGGTCTAGCATTCTAACTAATACACAGTAGCCATTCTCCTGAGAGTAGACTCTTTTGTAAAGGAAGGAGTTATCTTATTGCTGCCAGCAGGGATTTGTTAACCTGTGTTATTCCCAGGCTAAACCCGTGCTTACGAGAGGGATCTTTGAATTTTACTCTGGGAAAGACATCTCCAGGGAAAAGAGCAAACTAGACACTGGGTTCATAATTTTCAATAAGGTCTATTAGCACATAAGCTCTGACAAGGATTTTCTCTTCCTCATGGAAATACATTGAACACATGTAAGACGGCCTGTCCAAAAACCTTCCCTATATTGAACCACTAATTTATTTGAGACAGCATACATAATTCAGAATGTGGAAACAATGCAACAGCATAGCCAGCAATAGCCACCAATCCCAATGACAACTTGGTAGGAGGAGGTCTCACCGTCACACACTCTGCCTTGGAAAGTACCTGTAAAATAGGAAGTGAGGGAGAGAGGGAAGGAACTTCTTGACCCGACCCCCTCTTATACTCTCTTTGGCTCATTTGCCCACCTTTCTGATCCAGTCAGATTTGTGCAACTACCCTTGGATTTTTACCAACTCAAGAACATATTTTAAGCAAAAAAATAATAACCAGTGAACAAGATATATGTTAAAAAACCCCGAAACCCATGTGGTCTGGACATCTCAACTCCACTGGATCAAGTTGTCCCGTTCTGGATATGTCCCCCCAAAACTTGGATGCTACTCAGTACTGTCTTCTGATAGTATCCCTCTGAAGGTCAGAACATTAGATCAGTTATTCTGACTAGATTTTTGACCTAATCCTAGTTACTACCAGTATGAGTACTGTAATACATAGTGAACGTATGGTGTATACATTAGTCTATATGGCAAAGCATGAGTATACATAATATTTAAATTTCATTAGCAATTAAGGCTGCCAAATCCCCCCGGGGGGCAGATTTCCCCCCGCTTTGGAAGTCCGATTTCCGCCCCCGCGGAATCGGCCCCCGGGGGAACCCCCACCAATGGCGCATGAGCACACTTCATTTAAAAACTCGATGTTTTCCCCTCAAATGGCTGTGCCCCGCCCCCAGCGTCCCCAGCGTCATGACGTCACTTCCCTGTGACGTGCATGCGGCGCGCGCCTGCCGGGAGCCAGCACAAAGTCCCCCGCCGGCAGAGGTAAGTCGATTTGGCAACCCTATTAGCAATCAATTTCAGAAAGAGGCAAAGGAATCTGTGTGCATATAATTCCATTTAAAGATCTAATCCTAGGGACTTTCCTCCCATTCAAACTCCTCTTCTCATTAGCTGTGAACATTCAGGGGCTTTCTGAAGAAAAGATCCATGATCGAAATATTATCCTAGCTAGCAAAGTTTCCTTTTTTTTTTTGGCCTAGTACTTGATACTAAAGTAAATCAATACCATGTGTCCTGCTAGGCTTCTATAGCAATTTAAGGTTCCTTTTCCTCCCTGAATCCCTCTTTGTCCATCTTTAAGGTGCTTGTTGGGGTGTTAGAGGATATATATTATAAATGTATACTATCCTAATTGTTCAGTCTCACAGAACCTTCGCCCCAACAAACCCTGCCAGGCCCTCTGACAGTGATGATAGTTTTCCACATCTTGTTTTTATCTTTCTCTTAGGTTTTGTAGCATTTTCTAGGCGTCGACCCTGTAGTTATGGGTGGCCTTAGCTTCCAGTTAAAGCCTTTGGTTTAGGATTGACAACCTCCTGATGGGGGTGGGGTTTCCCCAATTTCAGGGGTCATCACCCCTAGTGGGTTGCCACCTTCCTCTGCCACCACTCTGGACCTAGGGTCCCTTGGGAAGGCCCAGAGTACCCTCCCAAGCCCAACCAATATGCCCCTTTTAAGCCGAGAAACATAGGCATGATGACGAGGCAGAGAACATTAAACAAATGATTTATTAATACAGTAATGAGGCAAGGAATACAAGACAAGGTGCTTAAAATATATAACAGTTTTAAAGGTAAAATAAACAAATCTAACGTGGCTACCTATTTCTCTTAACTGGTTACTATTCAAGGTCCACAGCCTTTTATAGCAAGCCTGTGCCAGTACTCACTCTGTCCCAAGTGAGGGATCTTTCTCTCAGACCAGACTGTCCCCTCAGTTTAACTCTGTGAGAGGAAAGAACACAGTAGAGAGAAGAACGCAGTTCCACAGCGCCCAAAGCTTAAATCACAATCTCCTCACACAATCCCTGGACATCAATTGGTTACAACCATTGCTAAGCATTGTGGGGATTGTAGGCTGTCTGCTTTTCACTCCCACACAGGTCTCCTGGGTCTAGGCCTTGTCTCCCAATCCTACACAGATCATGACAGTCAGGTACCTGACAAACGGAGCATTGATTCTCGAAAGTTCGTATCCTGAAAACCTTGTTGGTCTCTAAGGTGCTCCTGGATTCGAATCTAGCTCTTCTACTGCAGACTAGCGTGGCTGTATTCTGAAACTAGGTTGAAACTATAGTGTCAGATCCCGGTTTTCAGATCCTGATGAACCTAAGCAACCATAGTTCATATTGGTGCCCATGTTAAAAAAATATCACACAAAATAGCTTAATTAAACCATGGTTTAATCGCCATTAAACTGCCATTCTATGTGATCTTCAATTCTGCCCTGACTGGAGCTTTAAAATATCTGCCTGCCTGCCTGCCTCTGTCTGTCTGTCTGTCTATCTATCTATCTTCCTGTCATCTACCTATCATCTACCTATCTACCTATCTATCATCTGTCTGTCTGTCTATCTACCTATCATCTACCTATCTACCTATCTATCATCTGTCTGTCTGTCTGTCTGTCTGTCTGTCTGTCTATCTATCTATCTATCTATCTATCTATCTATCTATCTATCTATTTATCATCATCTATCTATCATCTATCTATATCTATCTATCTATCTATCTATCTATCTATCTATCTATCTATCTATCTATCTATCTATCTATCTATCTTATAATTTAAAATTTGTACAGCATGGTCAATATACACGGTTCCATAGGAGGCACTAAGCTAAATACATGGATCTCTCCCCAAATGAATTTACAGCCTAAAAGAGACAGTGGCAGTCATGGGTGTAATTCTTTTACTCCCCCCCCCCTTTCAGCACTCTCTAAAATGGGCTGTTAAATGCTTACAGATTTCCTCTCATGCAGAGAGAGATCACCCATCATGGCCATGGGAAGAAACTGACTGACTTTCCTTGAGATTCTGCTTCGCCCACCCCCCCCCCCCCCCCC